TTGACTGTTTCCTCTCCTGCTAACCAACCTAGCAAAGCCAGGCTTGCTTAACACCGGACACTTTGTCTCATGTATTTTCTTTGTGTTTTGTGTCAGCAGAGGTTTATGGTAAGGACACTTCCAGTAAGTTCTAGAGGAAGAGTTACTTCTTTTTGTAATTTCTGCTCTTTTCAAGATGTGTATATAGTTTCCCCTAGTGGCATGAGAGATACCACGTGATTTGGTTTATTTTGATCCAGCAGTTATTTCCAAGGCAGATCTCACAATTAAGCTTTTAATTGGAAGTGGACTTGCACAAGAGCTGCAGGATGTAGGGTACAGTTTATAAAAACACCTGAATGTCTACTAGGAAGAGAGGAGCTGCTGTGAAGGTAATGTAATGATTCCTTAGCACTATAGAATTTGGCTGTTGTTGCTTTCAGTTTTCCTTTGCCACTTAATACTTTAGCATGGAACTGAGATACTGAGTTTCCAAGACATCAGCCTCAGCCACTTGAGCTGATGGAGGTTAGCATGGAATTAGGAGTGCTCTGCGCAGCTAAGCCATTTCCATTGTGTGCAACAGGACGCTCAGGTGCGTATACAGGGAAGGCAGGTCATTATGTTATATTGCTGTATAACTTGTGGATATACAGAAGGTCAACTTTCCGAATTCAGGTCCTCCTGTTAGATATTTCTGGCCTTTTGGAAACAGTGCTTCACTTTGGTGTTTGTTTTATTAGGCATTGCTGCTCACCATAAAGACAACTAAACGCTTATTCTTTCATAGATTAGCTAGAGCGTAATTAGTTTTCAAAGATCAGATCAATAAGTGGAGCATGTTGGTTTCTAAAAATGTCATGCATGCACATTTTCTGATTTTCATGGTGCAAGCTCCAGGAGCTGCAATATTCCTTCGTACTCCAAGCTGGGGTATGCTGCCTTGTGCGTGGGGCAGTGGGAGTAGGCTTTTAGTTTTCTGTTTTCTTTCCCCAGCTACATGTCAGATGTAGAAGGCAGGAAAGTGTCCCATTCTGATGCAAGAAATGTAATTGTCTTGGTTTGAGATCTTTGTGTGAGAAACAAGGCCTGGACAATGTCATGACAATGATGACAATTTGCTACGCTTTGGACCAGAGCTTAGCAACGTTTGGAGTACTAAAAAGCTGTAAGTGCTAACACCAGCACTTCCACTGCATCTTTCATTTGAGAAGCTCTCTATTCTTAATGAATTTTCAGTGTGTCTCTGTGAGGCTGGTATTATTAGTGTCATTTTGCAGACAAGTAGATAAAATAAAATGCTTGTATAAGCATATTCAGCAAGCCAGAAAAAGGCAGGAATAAAATTCAAGAATACCAATGTTTCAACCTCTTCTTGAGCTACTGTCTTGTACTTTCTCTTTTGGCGGAGAATAAACTAAAGGCATTAATTTTGGTAGCTTTTTTCACCCCCTTTTTTTTTTGTCATTGGGTTAAGCTGCATAAAAGTGAGACATTATTATGCAACATATCTAAGTGTGCATGTGATACTTGAAAAAATGGTAATCAGATAAGTTGCCAGGCAACAGTACCCTGCCTTCAATTACCAAAAAGCCAGTGAGTGTGCGTCCATGATGTACATGTGTTCTGTACTTCTTCATAAAGTGTAGGTGGAGTTTTGTAAGAGTTGCTCCTTTTTAACTCATCTCTTGCTTAACCTGCCATATTGTGAGGTCAGATTTAGAGCTTTAGAGAAAAGTATTCACAGAACCTGGTATCCGTAACAACAACAACAACAAAGTTAGATGAGCTCTTAAAGATAATGAAGGGTATGTGAGCACACGTAACTAAATAACCATTCCCTGCCATGGGTCTGTGGGTCTTTTGGGATTCAACAGTTTACAGAAAATAGTTTGTAGCTCATCCTTGGGACTATGAAAAATAAGAAAATGTATGAGAGATATATATTAAAAGGCAGATGGCAGAGATGTGTGGCAAGCTGTGAGAAGTCTTAAAACACTCACAGTGGCCCATGGGCCCAAAAACGTTGAGGGCTGTGGTAATGCATGAAAGCATGAAGGTAAACCCAGCTGGTTCATTTTCATTGCCTTAGTAGGAGCAGAATGGAAGGAACATAAGCAGGGATGAGTGCACACAGAGGAAAAAGTAAATGAGAGTCTAATAATGTAAGACGGATCTATCAGCATGAGGGAATTCAATTGTGTGTTTCTTTGAAACCTGAGTTTAATTTTTTTCTTTTGAAAAGCAGATTGCAAGATAACAACAAATAAAGACTCTCGGCAGTTATTTCTAAACATATCTTTGCTTTTGGCAATAAATAGCCACAGAAGCATTTGCAGATACTGTAGTTGTGTGGGGATGTGGCCTCTGCCCAAGCCTCTTCAGCTATTGGGTGGCAGCATGGCTCTTAAAAGAAATCAGAAACTCTGGAGGTCTAATGTGCTTCTCAGGGCTTTGGCAGAAGTTTTCAGTAGAGATAAGGGACCCACCTAGATGTCTGTGGGAAAGGGTGCACATGACCTTGGAAATCACTTGTTCTCCTCAGGTAACTGCAAGTTGTTGCTTTACAGAGGTGTTTTTTTATTCTTTTTTTCCCCAATTATATTGTAGTTGTTGTTCCAGAAGGAGCAAAAGGCATTTTCGTGTCAGGAGGTGGGGGACTATGTAGCCGTGCATGCCTTAGGTATTTCTCTGCAGTAATTCAGTTCAGTGTAGAAACGGGTTCAAAAGTCCTCATCTAGAGGCATGCTGGGACTTCAGTTGAAAAGGCAGTCTGCATCACCCTCTGTGTAAGTCCTGCCAGAGCAGGGTGAGTTTCTGAGAAGACACATGTTGACTTTCTAGTTCCAAATTTGGCCTTTTCTTCCTAGAAAGATCCCAGGTAAGTCACAGGGCAATGTTGTGACTCGATTTCTCTGTTGGACAATTTATCACCAGGTAATTGCATGGACCTGAGCTTTCTTTTTAGAGCACTGTGGAAATAATGAAGAAGTGCAAATACTAAAATAGACGGTTCAAGGAAGACGTGGGTAGCATTCAGATGGCTAATGAGTTCCTTGGTTTGGCTCCACACGAAGCCCCACGGATGGACTGAGTGCTGGTGCTGGGGAAGGGGATGAATTGAGCAGGACTGTGTAGTCCTAAAGTTAGGTTGGCCTGAACACTTTCGTAATGTTCGTATTTCTGCTTTGAAGGAGTTGGGAGTGTGTTGCAGTTGCTTATTTTGTGTGATTTTGTTTCTCAGTCTTTTACACATCAAATTATAGACAAGTAGATTTGAGTATGTAAAAAGCATTCTCAGTGTTCTTGTGATTCTAGGGAAATGCTTTTTAAAATTCTGTTTGCCTGTGTCTGATAAATAGTTCAGTAGAAACCTATAACTGTGACAAAATGCATATAATGGAAATAGATTACATGAAAATAATTTTTAGGAGCATCGATGTGACAACAATTTCTACCAAAGCTAGATAACAAACAAGTTCTTTCCCAGTTTGATATACAAATACCTAGCTGTTAAAATAGCAATTATTTGTCATGATAAGAGAGACTCCAAAGTAGATGCAAGCCTCAGTGTATAGGCAGAAGGTGCTAAATGTGTCTCAATAATACCCATGTTACATTGATTTAATTAGTGGGTTTACGCTATTCATTGCTCCATTAATCTTGGTGGGAAGGTTTTTTTGGGGGAGGATTACTTATTTAATCTGCATTTTTAATTGGGGTATTTTTGTAGTTTAGTGTCATGTAAATAAAAACAGTGTAGGTTTGGTTTTTTTTTATTTTAAAGCATTTCTCTTGAATTGCTCTTGGACTTTGGTGCTCAAAAACTCTGTGATTCATTTGGATAACATGAAGAGATCATTTGTTACACAGTCTGACACATGAATGTCCTTGCTTTAACTTCTTTATATGCAATTAATCCAAAAGAATGCTATGTATAGACAAGGTTTGTAAGATCTGTGAGGCTGACGCAAGTAACATGTTTGATACTTGTGTGTTGGAACTGGCACCTTGAGGCATGACTTCTGTGAAAATTGAGAGCGTGGCACTGTAAATGTCAGCACTGGAAAAGAGGGAGAGCCCCAGCTCATGGGCTCTGCTTGCTTGGATCATGCAGTTGTGCTGCCCGAGCCCAACGGGGAGGTTAAAGGCAGTCAGCTAACTGGAGTGGGGGCAAGAGTCAGTGCCAGTGCTCCCAGGGACAGGTTGGAGTGGTGGGTGGGTGGCAGTGGTAAGGGCCTGCTTACGTGCCCTGTCCTGGAGTGGGGAAGGGAGAAGAAAAGTGTGATGATTGGAGATGTGAGGGGGACAAACGGTGGGGGAGATAGGGGAGAGAGAGAATGGGGGTGGAAAGGAGGGGGGACAAATGGTGGGGGAGATAGGAGAGAGAGAGAGAATGGGGGTGGAAAGGAGTCAGCAGTGAGGCTTGCTTAAAAAAATGGGGGGATTGGCTAGGAAGATAGAGACAAAGCAATTTCTGGTAGGCTCTTCAAGGGTTAACCAAGATCTTGGCTGAGAAGGTAGCAATGAACCTTTGGTCACTGACTCCAGTGAAGTTTCTCCCTGTTGGTGGGGGAGATAGGAGAGAGAGAGAGAATGGGGGTGGAAAGGAGTCAGCAGTGAGGCTTGCTTAAAAAAATGGGGGGATTGGCTAGGAAGATAGAGACAAAGCAATTTCTGGTAGGCTCTTCAAGGGTTAACCAAGATCTTGGCTGAGAAGGTAGCAATGAACCTTTGGTCACTGACTCCAGTGAAGTTTCTCCCTGTGTTTGCTGTGGCTGGGATCCAGATGGACAGTGGAGAGTAGAAAGGCACAGCCTCATCAGAGGGAGGGGCATCTGTCAGGGAGGTGCCCTGGGCAAGGGACAGGTGCAGGTGCCTGTCTGGGGGCTCTGCTGAAGTCAGGTCTTCCAGGACCCAGTGTACTGCAGCTAAGCTATCCTTATACATAGCTCTCTCAGTGTTTAAAGCCTCTCTTGCATTATGTTATACTAAGATTAAACTGTACTTATTTGTTTTAGGAAGACTGCCTGGTTGGTGTACTTGCTGTTGGTCAGATGCCCCTGATCTGAAAACAACTGGCATCTGAAACTGCTTGGATTTGCTGGAGTCAGCCCAGCCTACCTGCGGATGCTGTGAACCGGGAGCTGACCAAAAAGAGGGAGAGCTCCAGGATTCCTCCCCGGAAAAGGTAAGGGCCGGAGGGTAAAACCGGTGGGACTGCACTCCAGAAAAACGGAGCAGCAATCTGGGTACAGAGCTGACTGCATTATAGATGAGGCCTCTGAAATTTAAATATGTAGACTGCATAAAGGATGGTAAAGACGTGAAGTTATTTCCATCAGTTCGAACTACAAGTTGTTTTCTGGAAGTTTAGGATTACCGTTTGCACACAGGATTGTGTGTAATTTATACTGCCAAACTTTTTGGTGTTATTGTCTCTTTAAAAACCTCACTCCGATAGCCTTAGGCAGTTAAAACAATCAGGACAGTGGAACAGTCTCTGAGCTAAACCAGAGCAGTAGGTAAAGAGCGGAGGGTTGCTCTCTCCGGTAAAAGCACAGGTGTGAGTCGGATGATGAGGAATCTATTCCTGGCCCTAAGAAGCCGTGCAATCTCCACACCTGATTCACCAGTGTGTTACTCTACTAATCTTTTTAGCCTCGTCTTGCCAAGCTCCTGTATGCTGTGGCAGTGTTTTAGGCTTGCAGAGAGTGCATGTAAAATGCTATCACATTGGAAGGGTGATTTATATCCCAGAGTGAAACTTTATGTTAATTCTGGTAGATGGGCCGAACACTGTAGGATCAGAATGACACTCTTCAGACCCTGCAGCATTTTCAGCATGCTCTGTGTGTCTGCAGTATGTGGTGTGGTGCCCTCACAGGAGGTTAAACACAGGTGCCCTGATACAGCATGCAGAGGTTCAGACTGTAGGATTGTCTTCTCTATTGTAGATAAGGTTTCACAGATAGGTTGTGTACAGTACTTTATCTCCAACTGGGAACTCACTTTGAATATGTAAGTGCTACATGTATAAAATTCAGATACCTTCCTGCCTCAACCTGTCCCATCTCAGCATCTCACTACCCTCTCTAAGTGGTAGTGCTCAAGAGATCCTATGCTGGGGTATTCTGTTGTACCACTCTTGCAGGTGTTCTTGCTGATAGACCACATCTCTCTCCAAGACTGGGGAGCAGACCCACTCAGCTACTGAAGGAAAGCAGTAGACCTAATCGTGGCAGTGCTAACAGTGTGGATAAGCAGGGTCAGCTGCTGCCTCGAGCTCCAGCTCTGATTTTGCTGCCCATTGTGCAGCTGAATACAGGGCTTCAGTTGGTTCACAAAGGTCATGACAAAGGAAGAGTCAGCAGCTTCCCGAAAAGGCTGCTGGTGATGGATCGGGCCTTGTATGAGTCCAGCCATTTTGTCAATGATGCAGTTGTGAGTATTTCTCAAGAAAGCTGTGTCTGGCAAGCACTCTGCTGTATGGTACTGTTCCTGTGAGTAGAGCAAATGCTGCTTCTTGTCTGCCCTCAAGAACCATCAAAGGAAGTGCAGAAATCTCCTATTACTGTTAAAACAAAAACTGAGCACCGTATGGGCACAAGAAAACATAGATCCATTGGCAGCAGGACAAGACTATGAATTATTCATTCCTCCAATGCCTCCTGTATGTTCCATCCACTCAGGCTGTTCAGGCTGCTGTCTGCTGGAGATGCAGACAGATCTGCTTCCAAAGCCATGAGGACACGACCCTGCAGACTGTGATCACCATCCCGTTCAGCTTGTCCTTCATGAAACTGGCTTGGGCATTGTTGTGACATCCTTGAGGACACAGAAGTAACCTTTGATCATCCCATGGGATGTTGGTAGGAATTCTTGTAACACCAATGAATCTGGGATGTGTCTGAGGTGAGGGCAATGAGTTAGGATCAAAATGGAAGCCCTAGCTGCTCTGGCCCATTTTGGAGAAGGGAGGTGGTGATGGTGGGGCTGCATCTTTTGTGAGTATTGCTTTGGTTTTTGTAAGAGAACTTACACTATGTCAGTTTGTTCCTAGCCCTGTCTTGCTGAGAAGCCAAAGTGTTTCCTGAGCACAGGCAGGATTTTTCTGCCCATGCAGAGTGCTTTGGTGGAGAGGAGTGTATTTAAATGGCTATTTGGGAACATCACTGAAACACGCAGTTTTTCTCAACTCATTTACTAGTGGGAATTTTTCTATGTGTAATGGTTGTCAATTGGCAGCTGAATTTGAGAGGCACTGAGGACTTATGGAGCTGGAGAGAGTTTTCCTTCAATTCTTCCATGAACTGCTCTGTCCTAAGGTAAGATGTGCCAGGTGTAGGAAAAGGTGTTGATGAAGGTTTGTTCAGAGGCTGTGATTCAACATAAGATGCACATACTTAGACGCAGAGGGATTTTAAGTACTGGTTTTTTGGTTTTTTTTGCTTTTTCCTGCCTGCTGGTTGGTATAAAGTTTCCTGCAGCCGTGTCACATACCCAGGCTGCACCATTCACCGTATTGCAGGTTTTTAAGCATTTTTCCCCATTTTCCTTCTGTGTCTTTCAGAGTTGCTCTTGGCTATTAGGCTTTTGCTGAGAGGCATTCGTATTTTTAGTGCAGAAAAAGTTACCTGTAACTAGCAACTACTGTAGAAACAATGAACTTCTTAAAACAGAAGTTTAACCCTTGCATTTACAGCTGTCTTGTGATGTGCCCTACTCCATTCTGAGAGTACTTCAAATGTTCTTAAAGAGCTTTGTGGAAAGGAAGGGAATTATACTTCGGTCAAAACAAGACACTATAGCTTGTGTCCAGAACAGTTTTCAGCTTCTTATTATGTCATCCAGTTGGATTTGCCCTAGAGTGAGTCACCTTTGGAGTTGTCCTAGTCCAGAAGTTGAGGGAAGCTGTGGAGGCAAGATAAAATCCCAGAGTGTGTTTGAAGAGTCCTTGCTGAAAGAAGTGGTGGAAGCATCCTGGGGGGAAGACTGCCTAGCTGGGCTGAGAGGTGGGGTAGGTTTCTTGTCAAGGAAGAAAGGGATTCTTCTGGAGCAGGTAAAACATGTTTGTCATCCTGTGGTCTTGACCAAAGTGAGAAGGTGATAAACTGGAAGCATACGTTTTTATTACTTTTTTTTTTTTTAAATCGGTGAAAGAAGTAGACAAACAGAGCAAGCAATGGATTTGTGGTTTCCATAGTGATGTAGCTATGGAAGCTTTTGTACAGCTGAGCTTTGCCCTCACTGCAGTCACATTTGAAGGCTATGAGTGTTAAGCATCCCTGCCAGGGAAATGTAAATATACATCAAACATGGAAATGGCTGAAAATGCAACTGCATATTCATGATTTGTTATGTTTGCTATGTTACCTGAACATGTGGATCTTTGGAAGCTCAGCTTATTTTTCCTTTATCTCTCTTGGTCTGCACTGGAACAGTGCATCAAACTATACTGATACCACAGTTCTTGCTGCATCAGGCTGTTGATCCATGTCCTTTGCTTTCTCTCATTTGTACATGCACACACATCCCACAACGCTGATGCCTATGACTCTGCACTCACACTGATTTCAAACATACACTGATCAAGAATTGTATGTCTAACTCTTTCGGGGCATGCTAACTGATCAGAACACCCTGTGAAACTTGGAGAGGTATACTTCATGCTGTTCATAGCCATCAACTGCCTCATTCCTGTCATGTGACATTAAATCTTGACTTCTTTTAATGGGCATTTTGAGGATGTTTTAATAGTCAAAATACATGACCTTCAGGGAGTTTTTGCATATGGAGAGAGATGTTGGTGACTGTGAATGGTTGAATTTGAGAGCCTTTAATTTTGGCTTTCAAAACAAGTTGGAGGGGGAATTTTTCAGCATCTCAGTGATGGGTAACCAGTAGATCCCAGAGGCAGAGGGAGGAAAATGCTCAATGTGAATGCTGGATGCACACATCAGACAGCTAGGCATGTACTAGCCCACTTGCATAGTCCAGTCTTCTTGGTTCCCAGGCATTTGTGCCTCATCTTCCTTTCCACTTGTTCTGCTGCTGGATGCTTCTCTTGCTGTCTCCCCGAACAAATCGCCCTTACCTTCAGCATTTGTTTTGCTTGTCTAATGGATGTAATGGGTCATCTGTTCCCTTTATAGAAAGGAATGTTAATTATTTTCAGCAGGCTAATTAGGTTGCTAATGAGAAGCTCTACTGCAGAAATATTTCCCTTAATTACTCACTCTTAAGTGCTGCACAGAGAAGCTTATTGAATATGCTGTTAAATACAAATGCTTGTTTTTGGCTTAGAGATGCACCTTCAGACTCCCTGAAAGAAATACTGTGGTAAACTTGGGAATCCATGTGACACAAATGACTGAGCAAATGAGACCAGTGCTGAGAGCTGCCTAGTCATGCAGCCTTTTTGACTCCACATGAATTTGGTGCTTCTGCAAGTAACTGGCTGCAGCTTCTCTCTGCCAGTTTTGCCCATCAACTTTTGTCAGTACTGGTAACCAATTGTGCTACCTTCCAAACTAATTTATAATTAAATGCAGCCCTCACACCAAATAGTTCGGTCTAATTAGGCAGATGGCAGCCAGAGGCACAGAGGGGTGGAGTGGCTTGTCCAAGGTCATATTGCGGATCATGGTAAACCTAGTCATAAAGCACAAGTTTCATGAGTCCTGTGTTAGTGCACTGCACTATTTGGCTCCTTGTGCCTCTCTCAGGGCCATTGTAGCTCACTACAAGACTTCGGTCAGTTTGTGCATTGCTTCATGAGGCAGCCCAGCTGCTCAACGACCCCTTCCATGTACCTACCTTGGCACTGACTTAGGAAGGTCTTTTTGCTTCTCCGTCTGAGTCCTGGCTTTGCTCCTATTTTCACCCTTTGTTGCAGAAACCTGAGTGCCTTTTAGAATTGCTCTAGGAGAGCTACTGTATTCCAGTTGATATTTTAGTTTTAGTACTCCCAGGATGAGAGTTGGGGTGGATCTCTAATGTTCCCCTGCTTTTTGAGTGCTGAGCCTTCATGCAGTTCTGCAGAAGAGCTTCACTTTTTAGCAGCCATCCTCTGATGTTCAGTCCAACTCATGAGTCTGCTTCTAGCCAGACTCCTGGAATTCTTTACACACCATGGCTCTACTAGGGAAAATGGTGAGGGAAGGCTGCTGATTGGGGATCACTTCCAGG